CTCTCTCTCTCTCTCTCTCTCTCTCTCTCTCTCTCTCTCTCTCTCTCTCTCTCTCTCTCTCTCCTCTCTCTCTCTCGCTTTCTCTCTTTCTCGCTCTCTAGGATTAAACTGCGTCTGAAGCATCCGCTGCTTAATTTCATTACTGTTAATGGCAATTAATGTTCATCTCCATGAGAGGCATTCAATAGGCATACATTAGCGGATACAATGGATTTTACTAAATTCAAAATATAACATGCAAACTGCTGCGCCATGCTCTGATGAACTTACATTCACTTATCGTTGATATTTTAGAATACGCTTTGAATCACGTTATTCACACATAGACACAGTCCCGGCATCCATGTAAAATCGAGTTATCTGAGATTCCTTTGAAATCACATGCATTTGTGAACGCATTCGGCAGGATGACTATACCTTTCAAGTATACGCCGGGATAATAACAGATTCAACAGAGTCGAACAGTGCAAATTGTGGCCCGTTCGGATATACAAAGCGAGTACGACATAAACCGAATTTATTCGCGATAAAGGACACTTCAAAGGCAGCAACTGGCTCGCTAAATGTACAGGAAATTTAGAACCGATTTTGCTTTACTCGTTGTTTACGAGAACTTGCGAATTAAAACGCGTTTTTTACATTAATATGCAGGATCTGTTAAAAAAATTTGATGCAACTGAATGAGTGTGATTCCACTTACAAATATTATACATATAAATTAATAAAAATATTATACATACTTTTATACATAAATTATTTTATTTAGTTATTCTATTTCTTAAATCTTGTATGTTGAATATTTACTTGCATTTACTTTTGATTGACCGTAAAATCTTTTCGCTTTGATCTTTCTAATAGATTTGAGAACGAATGTGGCTTGTAAGTCAATTCCTCGAGAAATTTTTTAGGATGTAAAACTAGAATTTGAAAACAATTTATCTTTGTGTAAAGAAAAATGATGGGCATTCTGATATTTTAGAAGATATTGAGGTGGAAACTTTTCAAATAAACATACTGTATACTTCGTATTATTTGATTAAATAACAACAGGCTACATGAATTTTGGTGCATTCCTTTATGCTCGCTACACGGCCTGAGTATCGTATAGCCAATTATGTCTCGTTTTAATCATTCGTCAGTAATTCCATATTCTCGATTTCAACGAAATACTAATTGGTTCCGGAATAATAATAGTACGGGCGCCCGCGCGGCGTTGTACTGAGATGCAAAAATAACATAGTAGGCTTGTGCTTGAATTTTCATTTACGATTTAATCAAACGGAATTTGATATAACACCCACTAGTCGAAACAATGACCTCTAATTAATTACGTGTTTGATGGTACTACGTACAAAGCAGTAACGAACTCCGATTACGCGTTAATTAAGTTCTTCATCGTACTAATCAATGCAACGTTATGGGATTATTATTACACCGTTGTATTTAATTTCCATCAGAGAAGCGTTAAAGTGGTTATTTGTCAAAATTTGCATTATTTGATGTAGACATGTTTTAAGCAGACGCGAAGAGATACTTTTTCGATTTCACTGGAATACATTTACAGCTTAAGGATCGAGGTAAAATGGCGAAAATAACGAATGTAACATGAATATAATAATTATGTTGTGAATAGAGAGTACGGTATTTTTGAACTTGATAAATTTTAATAAATTCAAAGAAATTCATCTATTGGAATAGTTGAAACAATATTTTATTTAACAAATAAGATTGTTTAAGCTTTTCAAGTAATTTTATTGTTTGTAGACTAAATAATTTATTGTTTGGTTCTAAAAAGGAAATCCTTTCACTTAATTTTCTCATTTTATTAAAAAAAGTTCAATACTTCTATTTAAATATAACCTTAAGAATTTTGACATTTCTTTTTTCACATTACTGATTGCTTTTCTTATTATTACTTATGCTACGTATGCTCCTTGCTTATCTCGTAATACTGGATATACTTTGGACAGTAAAATCCCGTGAAGCAGATAATTGCAGAAACAAGGTCACAAGTAATACTTGCCAGTGCAGTTAAAGATTCCTCATTGCCGCTCAATCTTAACTTTATTATTAAAATGCCATTGCATCTTTCTTTTCCGTGATTTATTGCAACTATGGAATGTGAGATAATTTATTCAATGTGTCAGATATCGTGTGAACTATAATGAACTACGATATAATGATAACACAAATATCGCTCCCTATATTTAATATCACTACGTGTACGTAAATTTTATTGCAGGAAATAATACTGTCTAAGACAGAAAATTGAAATCTTATACAGAATAAAAATTTCAATCATTGCGACAATCATTGCATGCGATAATTCGTTGAATTATTTTTCTTTCTTTTCAACATTTTCTTAGTTATATATAACTATTCGCCTATTTAGTAAAAAGTCCAAAAATTAGTCTGCTATTTTTTCGACATTCTGCAAGTATTTACTCTGATTATTAAATTCACAAAAATATCTTTGACATTTTAATTAGATATTGAATTTTTCTTTCCAATTGTCAGAGAGCTACCAATCACTGCTCTTTGGTAAACATACTCTGTAATTCATTGTGTCGTGGTCGATTATTGTTCGTTTGATATTACATGAGTTTGTTTGATATTACGCATTACAATGTATATAATGAAAGCACAATGTTTCATAAATACTGTTCAATATTTTAGGAGTTGATTTCTATTTTGAAAGTCATTTTATGAAGAAAAATGTTTTAAATAATTTTTGTTAAGAAAAATAAAATATTTGTTTAAGAAATATTTTAAGAAGCACCTTGATGAATAAGAGGCAAACATATTAATAAAAAAAAACACAGATTCACCTAAAAATAAAAAGTTCCAGCTGCGTCATTAGCGATACGATCGTTTAGGATGAACACGATAACATTCATCTCTTTTCACACTGTCGCGCGAAATTACATTTTCAGAGGCAATCCACGGTAGAGACAATCCACGTAGAGCTTTTAGATACGAGTATCCGAGAAGGGGGGGGGGCGAATCGCGATTATCCAACGATTTTGTCGATTCTCTAATTAAGACGACGGTCACGGCGTGCCGACGCGGCCGGAAAAGTGTCGGAGCGATAAAGTGTCGGGACGCATCAGCGCGGAATAATCGATCGTCTCGCGCTTACACCAACCCGCCTGTAATTAATTACAGCGCGAATGGTAATTTACGCGCCGCGGCAAATATATAAGCCCGCTTCCCACAATGCACACGGTATACGTTCGAAGCCATAAATTACGGGGCACCGTTTGAAGTTAAATCGCAAAATAAATAAATCGATAAATATACACAGTAGCATACGCGCGTTCCCCCCTCTCCATCCCCTCTCTCTTTCTCTTCTTCATACCCCATCCCCGTTGTTATTATCGACACGTCACGGCGAGTGCCATTCCGCAGTTTCCGCCGCGAGGCGAAACGCGGAAACTTTAGCTCTTCGATAGAAATATCACATATAGAAATATCCCAAGACTTTTCCAGGTACAGCACAGATTCTGAAAATTTAGAGTGTCCAAAATTTGGCTCAAAATTGATTTTCCACTATAGTGAGTATCGTAGCTATGATACCAATTGGGAATCCCATTTTTGAAAATCTCAAATATGGATTATCTGTGTAACACTGAAACAAAAATACTGTGGAAGCTCGAGCTTTTTTTTCAATCGACAACGTTGGTGTCAACTTTTATGGTTTCAAACAGGAAATCCCATTTTTGTTTTTTGAACAGAACTATTTACAAAATAAAAAATAGAAGAAGAAAATATTTATAAGATATTCTGGGTATTTTATTGAATTATAAATTTATTTAGAAAGTCAACATATGTTCAGCTTAATTCTAATATAAAATAAAAAAGAATATTATGAAAACCTTGGGTTTTTCAGCTAAAATCGCATGTTAGAGACATTACACTTCTAATCCCAATTAAATCCCTAGAAATTTTCTATACGGGGTCTCTCGTCGCACATCACTCTTGAAATTTTGACGGTCGTTTAGGAGATTTATTCAACATCGTGCGGATTAAGAGAATTTCTCGAGGAATTGTTCCAGTTGGAGAACTTGAAATAAACTCACGATTAATCCCTCCCGAAGGATTAAAGTTTACAAGGGTTAACGACTCTCGCGCGCGACGTCGAGAACCGGGCCGTCGTTCTTCGCGGGTTAAAGTGCACTTATTGACCGCTCTCACAAGCAATCCGCCCACGTCATCTCGGTAATCCCGGGATCCGCTCGCGAAGTACATTCCGTGTACAAGCGTGGGTGATCCCATCCACCCACCGGAAGATCTCCGAATCCCCGACGACCTGTCCTCTTAGCGTCATTCTCGCGAGAGAGATCAGCCGCTTCGCGTGAAAAAAGCTGGACGGAAGCTACGGGAGGTGGACGTAAAAGAAGAAATTCTCCGATCGTAATCGTCGCTCCGTGCCGTTTCCACCCTACAGTTGCCCTCTTCGACCCGCTCGTCACCGCCCGGTCGTGTCAGGCTGATCTCCAAAGCGTCGTAAAAATAGACACCTGGAGAACACCCGGGGTGACACTCGTTAAACGCGGGTAGGAGATCCGCGAGATCGTCTCTGACAAGATCAAGAAGGACGAAAGATAACGAACGGTCGATGCCAAGATGAAAAGAGGGAAGGAGACAGAGAAAAGAAGAGAGAACGCGAAGGGTCGTAAAGTCGCCCCTTTCCTCTCTGATTTCTTCGCATATCGCATGAGATAAAATGCATGAAAGAACGAGCCACCCGGCAATCGAGATCATCGTCTCGCGGATCTCGCGTGTCGTCCGCGACGTGACTTCTTTTCCTTCTTCTCTTCCTTCTCCTCCTACTCCTCTATGATTAAACGACGAGCCGGATATGCTGTAAACTTTGACAATCGAATAATAACAAAACCAGATTACGTAAATTTGACAGCAACTTTACTCATCAATTTGTAAAAATTGAATCCGTTATGAGTGACTTAATAAAGTGATATAATGAAAAAAAAATACGAAAAAAAATTATCAAAATTTACACAAAACAATATGTCATGTAAAATGTAATATGAAAATTGAATGAAATTTTTAGTTTGCGAGAAAGGGTCGTAGTAGTAGGAGAGAACTCAGTCAGTCTTTATACCTTCGCAATAAATTGGACTTAAGTGATCCGTGTTCCGTGATTGGGGTTAGAGAAAAAGATGAAAATATGGAAAATATGGGGTCACTTTCTTGTTTTAAAATATTAAATATTAAATTCAATAATTGATAATAAATGCAATATTAAATATAATAATTGCATTAATAACTGTCACAAATTTTAATAAATACATATATCTTTAATAATGTATTTATATTATTATTATAAGGAAAAAATATATATATATATATATATATATATATATATATAAATTCTGTTCGAAAAATATTTTTAACAGCGCAAGAAGCGAAGTTTTGGAAAGTTGATGGTAATATAAGACAGACATGAAAATTTAAAAGAATTACATTTTGTTAATAAAATGAAAGAATAGTGATAAAAAATAGTTACGTACGTCGCGTTTACGTACAACGACGTTTACCACTATTTTTTGTTACTATTCTTTCTTCTTTTAGCAGAGTAGCAAGGAAAACGTGAGATGCAAGTATCCTGTCATACGAATAACCGTGAAACTGGTTCTTGTACAACGGATAACGGGCGGGTACCTCGGTATTCCGAGCTCTACTAAAAAAAAAAAAAAAACAAGACGGACGCCTGTGAGTTCTGCCGGAGACATTCTCTTCGCAAAGGTCCTCCCCTTGTCTCCCTTCCTTACAACAGTTAACCAAAACTATTTAGCTTGGTGAAAAGAGATATTGAAAATGCAGATCTCAAAAAATATAACATCTTTAAAAAAGATCCACAAGTCTTTTTCTTCCTACCTTCTACGGGCCTCGTAGCGCGATATGCGGTGACTACGCTCCGAGTCTAGTATCTCTGGTCTCATATTCCATACCTAGGATTACGACGATACCTTAAAATTTCAATAACGATATTATCGTCGACCAGAAATTTCCATAATGATAATATCGATAATTTCAAGAAAGAGTTTCTCATATATTTTGTACTGAATGTACCTACTTCGGTAATGAAGAAGGAAAAGCCTTATACATGACAACGCTCGGAAGTTGAAGGTACTTTAAAGCTATTGAATTATTTATGTCTTTTGACAAAGGAAATTTTCTTCCGTGATTTCTTCACAGAGCGCGAAGTCAAATGTGATCGTAAAAACGAAGTAAAATATGTCAAAACGATGTTGATTTAGCTGGCATGTATCTCAGGTTTGAATATAATGCCCGCCTGCGCGTTTCGACGACGAAATTGCGCGAGTGCCTTTTATAAATTATAAATTAAATTATAAAAGATAATTTATTCGTTACAACACACGTGTCTTTCTAATAACACAAACATAATATTTTTCACTTCCTCTTGCTCGGCGTCAGATTTTTATCATTGAAGGATCTCGTATAAATGACGCTTGGAACGTGAAATAATTTCTACGAAGACTCGACACTAGTTCTCATCTATTCCCTGTGGCTCTTAACAGGACTGACGATCCTAGCAATATGCCATAAAAATTTCAGTGTAATATCTCAAACGATCCTCCCACCTGAATCCCGTTAGAGCTTTTATGTAAAAAATGTATTTTCATATTAAAACCGCATTAACGATTCTGTGTAGCCGAGCGTTCGCATTAATTCGCTCTCAAATGCATTTTTAATGCAAATCTCGATAAACACCGGAAGTGGCTATCATACGCGATACTATTTCATCACACGAGATGGCAATTAAAACGGCAGCGGATTTGCAATGCACATTTAGGTCAGGTCCTTGCGCTCCTACCTGATCAGAATTTCTAGTCGGGCTGCTTTCCGTGACTGCGCTTCTCAATTGATTCTTCCTTGTTGCAGCCGTGAAGACCTTCGTCGGCGAGACGCTGGAACTAACAGGGGTGCTTCGACAAGAGATGGGCACGTATCTCTGCATAGCCAGTAACAACGTGCCGCCAACGGTCAGCAAGCGTTACTCCGTCGATGTTCACTGTAGGTATCGCGCCGCGCTGCGGCCGTTAATTAGCTGTCGTCCCGTCGTCGTAGTCGCGTTGCATACATTAGCAGGCAGAGCGTCGAACACCAGCTCGCCCGCATCACCCCGACCGCACCATCCCCGCGCTCTCTCGAAATTGCCGAACAGCGGTTGCAAGCGCCGTCATTGGCGAATCTCGAAGGGTGACCACGAAGGCTACGGGGAAAACTTTTGACATATTTGATGAAAATGACAACTCAATCGCGTCTCTCGTAGAATAAAAGTCAAGCTCGCACTTCTCCCGAGAGGGAACGACGTTTTATCGATGAGATGGGAAAATCTTTCTCGCGGCGAGAAATATAAAATATTATTTTGCGAGAGAAAGAGAGAGATAAACTCTAGTCGTTAAAATGTAAACGGTTATCGCGGCGAGTACGTTTGGAAATTTTATTTGTTCCAATTCCGACGAGGATCTCTCGTGCTGAAGAATCCTCTAGATCCGCTCCTGCGCATTATCGGCATAATTACCCGCGCGTTACCGCCCTTCGCAAGTTCACGTGTGACAGGATGGACGGGTAAGGATGAGCGCGTTAATTAATTGTTTAATTAATTTAGGTACATAATGATGATAATACTAACTCGCCGATGTATACCGAAATTCGCCTTTTCCGATAAACTTTGCGCGCAGTTTCCCCAATATCCGAATGATAAAATTTTCAGAGCCTCAGATCGCGAAGTATGACTTTCGGAGTTAAAAAGTTATATCACGTTTAAAAGTTATACAAAGGTCACGTAAATATTTTATTAAATACGCCTAACATATATATAATATAAATATATAATATAAACTGTATCAAATTTTATGTTAAATTTAATACATTTCATACATCTCAATTTATTTAATTTAATCTTTGTTGAACAAATAAGGCAAATATATAATAACAATAAAATATTAACACATAAGTGTATTAAAAATTAATTTCTACCTTGCAAGTCTAAGTGTGTTATTTTGGTTCTTTTTACGCCGTTTTTTGTCGTTTTAAATCATGTCATTTAACACGTTTAAACGTAATTAAATTATAATTTTCATATCTCTTAAACATATTACGCGATTTAAAACCGTAAGAAACGTGTTCAAACATTTAAAAATAACATACTAGGATTTACATGAATCGATTTCGGCACAAATACAATATGTTTTTTACCATGCTGTTATCAATTCGGAGGAGAGAACATCTATCTATCTGGGTCATATTAAACGATCTACACGATATAATCTACTTTAATTAGAAGAACGGTAACGGTGTCGATTATTAATACCCCTTCAATATCGGCATAAAACTATCGTCCAGCTCCTATGCTGTGCTGCGGTTAAGGATACGCCGGCAGGGTTCAGATGGAAAGTGAAGTTGAGATGAACTTTAAAATATTTTTCGATATCTATCCTAAGAGAAAAATATGGTTAATCTAACTAAAATTATAGCTATTTTTTGCCATATATTCTGTAGTAAAATTATAATAATAATGTGCATATAAGTTTATTATCACTAACTTTATAGTAAAATTTAATTAAAAAATAGTTCTTTTACCATAATTTATAACAATTATTTCTCCATGTAATTACAGTTACATAAAAATCATTTAGAGTGAAATATTACTGAAATATTCACTCTTATTAAAAGTGAAATGTCACTTCATTCAAAATTTGCACTATTTTAACTATCGCTTAGAGTGAGTATTCATTTATTTTAAGTGAAATTCCATTCCAAGAAATTTAGAGAGAGATTAATTATCGACATCATAATTCAAAAATATTTTTATTTTTAACCAATCTTTTTCAATAGCTCGTCTGTATTATCTAATAATAGCATCATATATCGAATGATAAAATAGTTTTAAAGTAAAATAAAATGGTATTTGTTTCGATGTTGGATCGAGAAATTTTCGCTGTTAAAGCACGAAAACTGTGTGAAACTCTCCTGAGAGAGAGAGAGAGAGAGAGAGAGAGAGAGAGAGAGAGAGAGAGAGAGAATAGAATCGAAAAGCAGCACGTGTCAGGGAACTAAAAAAGATCACCGTGCAGTTTGACTAACGGTATTCGCAAATGAAAACTTTATCCGCCCTCTCGCGTGCGACTGAGCGCGGCACGCGGACGCAGAGTGTTTTTCTCGCGCGTAAACATCCGGCCGCGCGCTGCAAAATTAACCGGCGGGGTTGACGATTTATCCACGTCGTCGCGCGGAGCGCGTAAATATTTGAGTGCAAAGGGTTTCTCATTAATTCGCTGCTTACGAAATGTAATATTAACCTACCGCGGTGGTCGCACGAAGGCGCAAAATTATGCCGCAACCGGTTAATTCTTGAACGTGCCCGCGACCTTCTTTGACATCCCAAGTACATTTTTCTTCCGTTCGTGTTCTCCTACGTAGCTTCTAGTCGACTTTACTGTACTATTTTATAGATATCGCAAACTTCTGCGAGCTTTCGCAACGTTTCGTATATTTCATTCTTAATAACGAATAGTTTACGGCTAAAATAGCATAACAGTAAAACGAGAGAAATTTTGTAGTTTTTTAGTTGAATTATGAGAAATGCGAATTTTTTTGCTGTAATATTCTACGTTATCGATGTTTTTGAAGTTCGCCATCAATTTCAGCATCCCTCTAAAGGAGTCTATCCAGCATTCTAGTTAAGAGGGACGACAGGTCAATGTATGACTCAACATCGATAGTTACCAGGATGATTTGATTGTTTCAGTTCAACCTCTTATTAAGGTGACAAATCAATTGGTGGCTGCACCAGTTAACAGCGACGTCGTCCTACAATGTTATGTCGAAGCATCCCCGCACGCCATGAATACTTGGTACAAAGATCCAGGTAAAATAAATAAATAAATAAAAATTGATAAATTGTGTTTGGCAATTTTTTTCATAAGGAGTTTTCCGTTATCAAAGACAATTTTAGAAACAGGTTTTTTTGTAAATTTAATTTGTTTCTAATAGAGATCTTGTAACACTAGTTTTCTATCTAGAAATCTAGTTTTAGATTTAGAGGTGGCTGAAGACAGAAAGCGCCTTTCGCGTGAATTAAAAAGATTTTAACGTTTAAATAGATAAATATATAATATGTACATAATACAAAAAATCATCGCGGATTAACAATGTGTAACAGAATTTTCAATAATATTTATCGTATTGTTTCCGAGATATTTGATTCCTTAATTTATTTTGAGACATACAGGGTGTCCTATTTTAAATTACGCACCTAAATATCTCGTCAGGGGAGCCACCAATCCGAAAATAACCCTTACAAAAGTTGTTGGGTTCGGAGAGTATCCTATTACAACAATTTATCATGAAATACACGCTGATAGTACCAAACATCGACAAAGAAAACAATTTAACTCAACCGCACAGCACAAAGAACCACAGTTTTGTAATGAGAACAGGCTCCGGCACGTTCTTCACAATTACATTAATTTTTTTTGTACTAATAACGTCTAGGAAAAAAAAATCAAGGTATGAGAATTTGTGTATAAAACTCACAGTGATGAACCCATTTTTACAAAATTTAAACGTCTATGTAAATTCAAATCTTCGTTGAAACACAATCAACGTGGGCCCTGGACATCGATGTATGAACGCAGGCTCTGTTGTGAACAATTTTATTTTATACGATTTTTCTATTTAAAAAATTATGTTATATATATATATATATATATATATATATATATATATATATATATATATATATATATATA